CCCCAAAACCCCAAAACCCCAAAACCCCAAAACCCCTCCACTTATAATATAAATTGACTGCTAGTTAACCAAATAGAGAAATGGAAGGAGGACATTCAAGAATTTGCTCTGATATTAGCTCAAAGGAATTTTGGAAGCAGAGAAACCAGAAGAGGTACATGTCCTCAATGGACCTGTTTAAGGCCCTCAAACTCAGCACCAAATAAGATTTCAGTCGTCACGAAGTATAGCAAGGCTCATAGTCGAGAGGCTAATAAAACTAAATTTCGCAAGAGTTAGATTTCGAATTAAGTTTTAGCAATTTTACCTGTTTTCACAAATTATCAAGAAAATCGTATTTTCTCACCCGCTCAAAGTAAGTTTTTAGAAGTTTATTTTAGAGAATGTTAGGGTTTCTCAAGAATTCATGAAGGCTGTTCCTCAGAATGAGGACACTGACCAGGATGAAGTAGTCATAATGTCACCCAAGATATCAAAAATAAGGTCCCAAGATAGCTACCCTAAGCAGAAAAAGAAAATGAAGAAATCAATTGTGTTCCAATACAGACATATCGAGGGGAAACTTAGGTATTTCATGCTTATAAATTTAGTAGTAGAAAGCCACAAACAACATCTCAAGAGATAAATGGGATGGTAAACCATAACTCTGGCATATTTGTAAGTCACCTCTAATCTTTTTAGAAGAATATTACTTTCAAATAAAGAGTCCTTGTTCACAAAAAGTCTTAATAAAAAGTAAGCACCCCTGATTTGATCTATAGGAATGGAATTATCCAAATAAATAATAAAGGTATTTTTGTAGTGGAAAATTTCTAGAGTTTTTTAATTCACTATCAGAACCACTAAACATGAATTCGAATATTAAAAGGACCAAATCTGTGATGGGCAAGTATAAGCTGCCCAGAGTTTCAACTCAAGTTTTGGAGCTAAACCCTTTTAATGTGTATCCTAAGCCTAAATCTATACCTGATGCTTACTTAAATTTCAAGAAGAAGCACCAGAAATTTCAGAAGTCAAGGTCAAATAGTCAGAAGCCACAGTCTAATCCAAGGTTTTCGTACATGTTTTCTTCAAGACAAGAACCTGGGCGAGTAGATCTTCTGAACTTGAGGAAGATGCTCAACCACTTTAGAGAATCGCGTCAAAAAGATATCTCAAGGAGCTACCATAATACTTCTAGTAGCTCTAATTTTGAGGTGATGGATAACAAATATGCGATGCTCGACTAATTTCAATATGGCTTTTGAAATAGGGGTTTTGGGGTTTTGGGGTTTTGGGGTTTTGGGGTTTTGGGGTTTTGGGG